TATAGCTGAAAAACTGAAAATCATTTCGGCGACAAACAAATACTGTGAACCATTTTATGAAATGTTACCTGCATCGAATCCATATTTCTCCATTTCACCAGCACACCAGCCATACAACGAATGCGAGTGTGGAGTGAGCTGGCACCTATACTATGCAATACACACACGTACGGTATACTAAGGTAACACTATAGAGGGAGTGAAGTGAGATTTTATACCAGGTTTAGCAATGAACGAGCGACATCACGTCGAAAGGACACCACAATGTGACTGATGTGTCTTCAGCAACCCATGTCTGTCGTAAGAGACTACTACCGGGATCAGGTGGTCAGACTCGCTGACTTGGTTGACACGTCATCGTATCCCAGTTGCGTCATCCATGTCTACGATTTCAACCACTGGATAAAGACAAACGTCATAGTTCACACAATATACCCATGTACGGAATAGAACGATGGCCTTATGCATGACGAGCGAACGCCTTAATCACTGGGCTACCCCACCGCTCTGCTGTGGTATCCGAAAGGTGGTGTACATTCGCAAAATGTGAAGATTCATTAAGTTCGCTCAGTCGCTCTGTCACCTCATGTGTGGTGATTACCTTAAATGAGAACCAGGTCAAGTGTCAGATCCGCAATTACAAGTTACCGCGACACGTACCATTTGGCCACCTTATCTGTAACAGAGAGTGTCATGGTCACAGACAAACATCATTGCGACATGTTCACCAGTCGAGTTTACACTAGCAGGCCATCCAGGACACAAAATATTGCACTAAATTCTTAATCGAAAACCATCGCCACCTCTCTTGTCAATATCGCAAAACATGCCGTGTCTTTCATCGGCTAATACAATGAAGAATGACGGTCGGATTTCAGCTTCAAAATGTTTTATCTGGGAAAATATTAGGGACTTATTGCCGCTTACAGCAGTAATTGGATGTAGCCTTCACAACGTAGCGTGGGTTTTACATAAATAGAAGAGCGGATTAAGGGGAGATAAGGCGTAATCTACATATATTCATCACTGAAATAAACGCTGGCATCAAGCGCGTCTGGAATACCACCCCCCGCCCAGTGCCGAGACCTGTGTTTCTAGGATACGGGTATGTTTGTGGCAGAACATTCTTGAGTTTTTTCAGTATTCGTTACTATTGTGCTACCTTTGGAAATTGACATTGTTTTTATCTTTGGTTGCTAAGATACGCAGCCAGAAAATGTGTCTTGCAATCTGATTTATATTGGTTTTGTATCAAACAGCAAATTGTTTTTGTCTTTGGTTGCTAAGATACGCAGCCAGAAAATGTGTCTTGCAACCTGATTTATATTGGTTGTGTATGAAACAGTAAATGCAAACTGTCATTAGAACTTTTTTCACTTTACATTGTACATCCATGCATGCGTTGTCTCGTGGCTATGTTTAAGAGCGCACAGGTGACGCGTGAAGATATACTTTTTTAACTGATCTTCGCCAACCCATGCTCGTAAGAGGCAACTGACTGGTCAGACTCGCTCACTTGATGGATGCTGGTTATAATATCCTGAATGTGCGGTTAGATGCTCGTCATTGCAATCACTGGATTGTCTGGTCCAGACATAATTATTCACATACCACCGGCATACAGCTGGCAAAATGCTGAGAGCGACGTGTGTTTTAATTATGTTTGATTTTTGGTTGCATGTGACCTTTAAGCAACAACAAAACAGCGCACGAGTAACAAAAAAAAAGGGAAGACTCATTAGGGTTGCTCGGGCTTCGGTCGTGACCGGAGGAGTTATATTCTACACAGGCGGAGTGGGTGTGTATGATGCGCTTATGCAAGAATCACAAACATTTTGTGAGTATGGTTGTTTCAGCCGCTTTTAGCAATTCTCCAGCAATATCACTGCGGCGGACATCAGAAATGGACTTCACATTTTGTACCCGTGTTCAAGGTGACGACGAACGCTTCAATAAAGAGGCTACCCATCCGCCCACTTAAAAATATAGTACGATGGTGGTTGAGAAGATGTGAGCCTGGCCTCGAAGGATGTATGTACACCCTTACAGTTAGTGTTTAGTATAAAACGTTCCATGCTGCATCTGAACCAATAAGACCCGTGAAGGTCAGAGTTAGAATTGATCTTCAGCAACCCATGCTTGTCGTAAGAGGCGACTAACGGGATCGGGTGGTCAGGCTCGCCGACTTGGTTGACACATGTCATCGTTTCCCAAATGCGCAGATCGATGCTCATGCTGTTGATCACTGGATTGTCTGGTCCAGACTCGATTATTTACAGCTGGAAATATCGCTGAGTGCGGCGTAAAATTAACCTCACTCACTCACTCCTGTCAGTATTTATGGAAAGCAAGGTAGATGGGGTAGCCTTGTGGTTAAAGCACCCGCTCGTCACGCCGAATATCCAGGTTCGATTCCTCACATGGGTACAATGTGTGAAGCCCATTTCTGGAATCCCCCGCCGTGATATTGCTGGAATAGTGCTAAAAGCGTTAAACCCGAGTCACTCCAGTTCTGTTATTGGAGTGAATAATATTCCTCGCCAGATAATGAAGTCTGACTCAGACAAACCAGGCACTGAAACCATGTTCAAAGATCCATGATGTCTGGATCAGCAATCTTCCAGGCCACAGAACCAGACGGCCAGAACCAATTTAGTCGTCTTGTACGACCAACCACGGGGTGGTGGCCATCTATTCTAACGTGAACCCCAGCAGGGTAGGCCTTTAAGTAAACTCGAGACAAGTGATCTACATTATGTTCAAGAAGAATAGCCGGCAGAAACCCCGGGGTGTAAGATCAAGATTGTACAGATATATTGTGTGTCGGCGATGCCCCGAGTGCCAGTGTGTGCGATCGCGTCACATCAAAGCGATGATCTTGTCTTCGAGGCATGGGCTGATGCTGAAAACACCCGCAGATCAGGGCTGATAGTGTCACACCTGTATTTTCCCCCCACCTGTATGTATGTAACAGACGTTTTTCATATGCTCTGTTTTGTTGCTCCGCTTCAAAAGAAGAGGAACAGAGGCGGATTCAGAGGGGGAGCGGGCTGCAGGGGTGCGCACAACCCTTTTGGTCCTGTAAGTTTATTAAATGACCATTGAAACTCTCGTGAAAATGAGGTGTGCACCCCCTCTTTCTCAACAGTGTGCACCCCACCTTTCTGAAAAAGCTGTATCCGCCCCTGAGGAAGATGTTATTGGCTACAACTTTACCATCTAAATTCTGAAGTTCTGAAAACATGTAAGGCCCATACACACTAATTTATTTGTTAGTCGGGGTTCTTAGTTCAACTTGGGCAAGTTTTGAAAAAAGGGAATGTACCATTCTCTCTTAAAGAACTTAATATATTTTAGACTGTAATCCACTGTGAATGAAAGGATATGTCCTATTATCTCTTAGATCTGTTATTGTCCTCAAGTTTGAAGGGATAGCTTTAGAAATATTTACAGTGGGGTACATTTATGATCGTCTTAAAATTGATTAAACGAATGCTAACGAAGGATGACCGCTGCGATTCGTAGATACCAATATGCTAATGAAATGAGTCTAGGAGTCCCCGACTTTCCGTTCCATGTGCAGCGTTCATAATCACGATAATCGTCACTGTTTTAGCTTCTGTCCAGGGACATTTCAAATCTTGTTCAAATATGACACTTTTAATGAAATATATGTCATCACGAATAAATACGACATGGAGAAAAAAAATAAATTACATTTAAATTACAATTTAATGTCATATAGTCATAATAATATAGACATGCCTTAGGTATAGGTTCTTGTATTTCTCTTTGTGCGTGTAGATTTTGTTTTCGATGTTTGTTTGAAAAGCTATTTACATGTATTACGACTGATTGCATCTAAATTCACCAAGGGACAAAACGTATATTGCTTGAAGTTGAATCATATACATTTAACAACAGAAACAAAACCATCTATGCATATTAGCAAAATGTTTTTATCTGCACTCACGGGAGTTGACGAGACAATGCACAGGAGATGTACGCCATACTTTATGAATACACACTATTAGTGAAAGACATTTTTCACGCATTCGCGATCGATTGTATTTCACAGAACAATAATTAACGTCACTAAGATACAAAAGAAAACCGCGTAAATATCGACATCTTAAAATTGATTATCGATGCCTATGGATGTCTTCCTGACTCTGGCTTCCATGGTCTAGTGGACAGCACGTCCGCCCGGAGATCAGGAGGCTGGTAGTTCGATTGTCGTCATACCAAACGTTTAAAGATGGTACTTGTTGTTCCCCTGCCTGCGGCTCGGCTGTAGGGAGTATAACTGTTCGTCTCAGAGTCGGTGTGCTGTGTGTATAGTCTGTTGTCTAGATCCATATGGTATGTTTTCTAGATCCATATAGTCTGTTGTCTAGATCCATATAGTATGTTTTCTAGATCCATTCGTTTGAGAACCGGGATAGCTTAATGGTTAAAACGTTTGCTCGTTACGCCGTTGATTCGGGTTCGATTCCCGCATGGGTACAATGTGTGAAGCCCATTTCTGGTGTCCCCAGCCGTGATATTGCTGGAATATTCCTAAAAGCGGCGTAAAACCACACTCACTCACTCACTCACTCACTCACTTACACTTACTTACACTTCTTAAAGCTGTGGACATGCTGGTACACCTCTGTATTCTCTGCTACATCTCAGGAAACCATTGCGACACATATACATAAACATTTACACGTGTAATGTTCTGCGTTCAGCTATTTCGGAGCTGAATTGGCTCACTTATTCGCGCTGGGGGTACACAAAGACCGATCGTTATGTTGACAGCCATGTAACAGTCCAACAAGCCGACAAGCGAGTGACCGAGGTCAGGAAAATATCTACCTCAGTACCGGATGTCGTGCTGGATGTTAATTTACTGACAATATCGCAGGCTGGTGCGTGTGGAGGCGCCAGGTAACAACGCGGGACTCAGTCAACATTCGCGTGGCGTGAGCTGACGTATACAAAACAAACAATAAAAGCCGAGATTTGAAATGTATTGAGGCAAAGTGAGCTAAGGGAGTACATTACCCTCAACACAAGTAACAATTTCCCCAGCTTAATCCTTCCCTTGGGATCAAGTTCCAAGACCCATTCATAGCGAGGCTAGGTTCTGCCACCGCCGGTGAATGCAGCGATTTCGGCAACAATGGCGTTATTGTCAAATATACACCGGCTTTACCTGCCGTTTCCTCATCACATCCTCCCTGAGATTCTTCACAAAACACGCCTCACCCTTCATATCTTCCGACCCACCCGAAAAACTTGTTAATGCCCGTTCCTTCCTATGGAGGGTGCTCTCACAAACTCCACCTACCCCGCCAAATGGGGTAGAAGCCTTCGGCAATCCTTGAATGTCACTTGGGTTGTTCTCTGAATCACTGATAACAAACGAAGCACTTTCTGATTCAGAATCGTTCGAAACACATAAAACGGCGTCACAACTTTGGTCTTTTGAGTCTGTAATTCCGTACGGAATGTTTTCATATATGGGTTCTACGTAACTGTTAGATTCGGGGTTGGTTGTGTTTGGGTGAATCACTCTCTCGATACAGTTATGAACATTCCCCGAACAGTCTGTAACAGTCACGATGGGAACCCTTGTGGGTGACTGAAGACTCTGACCACTGCATTTACCCTGGCCAGAATGTCCGTCTTGCCTACTGTGCGACCAATTCTGTCCACTGATCACGTTTCCAGATTTGGCTCTGATTTCGTTTAGATTTTCAATCATCCGCGCATGCGCAATGACCATTCCAGGGTAACATTTTTTAGACGTTTCGTCATAATAATCCTCAAAACTCAGATCCATGTCTCTGATACTGGTCATACATTTCACACGTTTTTCCTTCCGTTCATCACTCATGGTGACATTACGCGTGAAGTCTGAATTATATTCAAACGTTCGTTCATATGTAGATTCACTAAAGTGCACTTTTTTCGATTCTTTTAGATCCAACTCGCATGAACACTGGTCACTGTCAGAATACCTACCCGAGTCATGGCTTCCACACACACTCTTTAAACTTGTGACGTCACAAGTGACGTCATCAACATGTGACGTGTTGTCTTTGTGATAACCCGAGCTGGAGGGAATATGGTTGACATCTTCTAAAATCACCCGATTTCCGTCGGGATCCGTCGTGGTGTACGTATTTTCATTAATCTGACGCAAATCTGTCCTGAGAACATATTTTAGGTTGGCAATATTCCGAATCTTGAAGCTGATGTTAGCACAAGAAAGTGGAAATGGTCTGAGATGCTTACACCGCTTGAGACACAACATCACTTGAAACTCTCCATCACCGGACACAGGAAACAAACAGAAGTCTGGTTTAGTACTCTCCATCTCCGAGTCTGTCACAATACGGTAAAACTCCACCATGTCTGAAAAATTGTTCACGAATAAGTTCAGGCGAAGATGTTCAAAACCTGAATATACCGGACACACTGACCACAGAGGATACTCTCGAGACAGCGAATAAAACTCCTGCTGAGCGACCTTGATCGAAGGAGTCCGTTTACTCTGAAGTTCAATTTTATGGTGCACCCTCCACGGGTGTCTCTTAAAGCATTTCTTTACGTCCTGAACAGATGTTGTTCCTCGTTCTTGAAGAAACAGCATTACAGCGAGCGCTGGGGTGGAGAGTAAAGCTTTGTTGTCTTGGTAACGAGGAATATTGCCGCCATGTTGGAATTTCGATCCATGAGGTAGTTTACTGGGTGTTTCATCTTCCTTGATGTGAACACAGAGGTTGGACGGGTCGAACCTGCGTAGAATTGGTTGTAGAATCTTCTTAAATTTATCGCCCCGGCGACGCGGAGCCTCAATGTTCAAAACACAGTTTTGTTTTGTGTGTTGTCCTTCACACCGGGACGACGCCCGCAGTCCACGACGTTCCATCTCAACAACAGCTACATCAATCAATGCAGCTCAATCACGTGTTCAGTTTCATGAAGTCATCAGCCATATATTCTAGTCACGTTTAAAGATGTAGGTAACTTCGAAGTTAACAAACACACCCATGTATACACCTCACGATCAGGTTGAATACAGATTCATGTTTATGGTCCACATTCTCACATACAGCCCCAGCCATCAATAGTCCAGAACGCAACATTCCATCTGAAATATAAAGACCTGAATGTGTTAGTGCGACATGAATCGGCAAATATTTCCAATCAGATTCAATCATACAAATCCATGACAAATTCCCATGGTCGTCTTCAATATCCCCCGACTGTTTTTGTGCAAACGATAGACGGTAAGGAGCATTGGGCGACAAACCATATCAAATAACTGCAATTTGAAATTATTAAATTGCACTCAAACTACTTTCTATTACCGCTTAAAGCAGCCCCCTCTCTTGAAAATGTGCTTGATAAATAATTGCTAGGAACATTTGTCGGGTATGATTCTATTCAACCATATGTAATATCGTCTTCATGCTTCACCGAGTTTGTGCAAGTCTCATTGTATATTCAAACACCACGAGAAAGACATAAATCTTTCCCAGAGAAAAATACACTTTAAAAATAGTTGATCTATCTGGTTAGAGGTTTCGCTCAAGTTGGCTTTACGACTTTTGTATGGGTGTTCCACTCATCACAATGGACGTAAACGCTCGTGTTAAAAGATCCATCTCACAAACTCGTATGTTGGAGTCGTTCAATGTAGTAACAACTCGTAAAAATGAAATATATATCTTCAGTGTAACACGCACTGGTTGTAGGTCCAGATACGAGAGCTGTACTGCTACAGCACCGTCTTGGTACCCTCAACTCACACACGAAGAATGTATCTTCAGTGTTACACGCACTGGTTGTAGGTCCAGATACGAGAGCTGTACTGCTACAGCACCGTCTTGGTACCCTCAACTCACACACGAAGAATGTATCTTCAGTACACGCACTGGTTGTAGGTCCAGATACGAGAGCTCTACAGCACCGTCTTGGTACCCTCAATTACACGCACTGGTTGTAGGTCACAATATGTCTACAGCGCCGTCTTGGTACCCTCAATTCACACACGAAATATGTATCTTCAGTGTTACACACTCTGCTTGTAAATCTAGATACGAGAGCAATATGTCTACAGCACCGTCTTGGTACCCTCCATTCACACACGAAATATGTATCTTCAGTGTTACACACTCTGCTTGTAAGTCTAGATACGAGAGCAATATGTCTACAGCACCGTCTTGGTACCCTCCATTCACACACGAAGTATATATCTTCAGTGTTACACACATTGCTTGTAAGTCTAGATACGAAAGCAATATGTCTACAGCACCGTCTTGTACCGTCACCACACACACGACAGATGGACGGAAGGACGGACGGAGAAAAGGAGACGTATCTATTTAATCAAATAACTATTCTTAGCGAGCTCAACGTCCTAATTCCATTTTTTATCTGTATCACAATTTTAAACCGAGATATGTACATGTCCGTGTCGTTTTCCTACACAAAGAGGTGATGAATATTAGAGTGAAATATAGTAGTGTCGATTTCAATGTGGTTTTACAAAAGCAAACAAACCGGGTCATCAATTTCACCTCCTGAGATTCTCTTCCTTAATTCCTTGTGATAACAGATTACGCGACATCTATGTACAAAAGAACATATGTAAACCTCCCCGGATGAAGCGTTTCAGAAAAAAACATGACATGAATTATACATACACACATCATTCCACTTACCGGACTCGTACAGCTAAAATAAACACATGTCACTGTCAAACATCACAATGGAGGCAGGGCTGTAAAACCAACGTTCTTCTATCCTCGTTTTTCCCCAAGGTGTTGCTTGAATCCCACGGTGAACGTGCGAGCAGTTGAAATCAACATGTTATTGCTGAACCCATCGTTGCAACTGACAACCTCCGTGAATGACACGAATGTACATTTCAGTGGTAGACATAGCGTGTGTATATACACTGCTATTCCAAACCCGTTCATGTATCCCTAACGCAGAGCCTGCACGCTGATATTGCTGAATGGGTACCTGCCGACAGCCCGTCCCTCTAAAGTACCCGACCGTTCGTGGCTAACTGGTGTTCTAATCCCATTGGCCCAGAAAGAAATATGTATCTCATTTGACCTCCCGACCCCTGCCTTGTAAATAATAGCTACATCAGCCAGGAGCGTAACGCAGGGCAATGGGCGATTATTGCGGTACGACGAAGTAATCTGTCTTCTCGCGGGATAGGTTGAGTCAAATTCTACTCAGTCGATTGTCTGTCGTGTTAAAGGCTGTGCTTGAACCAGCAGGACCCCTTTAAGGTGCTATTGTAACCTTATTTTCGGTCGCTACGGTTAAGCCCGTTTCGCTTCTTGATAAACTTAGTTAACACCTTTATTGTAATACCTATACACAGTCTCAAGATGAAATATGATCTCAAGGACGCCCTGCTGTTTTGACCAATAATGTGGTGTATATTATTTAGGGCTTAACACTGCATTGAATATACATATAAAGTTAGGCAGTATTTCATCATTAAGGCGGCTGCACACAGGGCGTCTTAAGTCATGTCTGTGGTACTTCTTAATAAGGTCAGACGTATTGATTATTTTGTGATAATGAATCTTGTCGTTTAATGACATCTAAGTATCAATTATTGATCACTATCGTGTCTGTTATGGGACAAGGGGATCGATATGCACCGAGATAAACACGACTAAAGCGCCATAACAGCTACATCCAGATGGACATCTCTTGTACCACACTCAGGGTTTTCTTTAAACAAATTAGGATCAATTGTGTACATGCATTATCTCTTTTCGTGGTAAAAGCGTTTAGTCGTCTAGACCTAGGTTCCATTGTGGTTAAAGCGTTCGTTCGTCACGCCGAAGACCGGGTTCTTTTTCGCAAATGGGTACAATGTGTGAAACCCATTTCTGGTGTCCTCCTCCTTGATATTGCTGGAATATTGCTAAAAGCAGCGTAAAACTAAATTCACTTACTGATTCCAGGGGTTCTTCCCTCACTCACTCACTTATTGTGTCCTCCTCCTTGATATTGCTGGAATATTGCTAAAAGCAGCGTAAACCTAAACTCACAGATTCCAGGGTTCTTCCCTCACTCACTCATGGTGTCCTCCTCCTTGATATTGCTGGAATATTGCTAAAAGCAGCGTAAACCTAAACTCACTGACAGATTCCAGGGGTTCTTCACTCACTCACTCACTCACTCACTCACTCACTCACTCACTCACTCACTCACTCACTCACTCACTCACTCACTCACTCACTCACTCACTCACTCACTCACTCACTCACTCAGCTGAATTCCGGTAGAGAACTGTTCCCCGGCATCCCTTGCATGTCCCTCTGTATGAATCCCGGGACTTCAGTTCCAGAATAGATTTTCCAATATCCTTACTTGCCCTTGACAGAGAAGGTCCCAGCTTTGGGCTGTAATTGAGAAACCAATGACGCTGTGGAGTGTGAACGCCGACGATGCGAACGTTTGTTCATGCTATCAGCCATATACAGCTTACGTGAGTCACGTGGGGTTGTACCTGACTTGCTGATTGTCCTTGAGTACGTGACTTGGTGACATACAGGGAAAGAGACTCGACGATGGCCCTAACCAGATTCCGTGACTCTGCGATTGCTCTATTCAGAGTACGTGACATCGATTGTCTACTTAGTGTATTCAGCTCTATGTAGAGTACGTGAGTCAAAAACTGCTCTATGCAGGGTACATAACTCGGAGGTTGCTCTGTACATAGTGTGTGACTCGGCGACAGCTGTATGTTAAGTACGTGACTCGGACATGGCTCTATACAGAGTACGTGACCTGGCATTTGTTTCATGCAGAGTCAGCGATTCATCTAAAGACTACGTGACTCGCAGGTTGCTATATAAACAGCATGTGACCCGGCGATTGCTCTATGTAAAGTACGTGACGTCGCCATGGCTCTATACTAAGTACGGGACTTGGCGTTTGCTCTATGTAAAATAGTGACGATTCATCTAAAGAGTACGTGACGCTGCGGTTGCTATATAAGAGTACGTGACTCAACAATGATGCAGCTGAGACATCAATAAGCAACTGGGAGTAATCTGGTATTTGCTCTTGTCAGTATGACAAAGAGAGCGTGGTAAGACTGGACTAACTTCACAGGATATTGCGTTGATCCATCAATATCATCAATCACCATCACTTTGTGAGTGACGACCATTACTCTTCAGATGGCCATGGTCTGGGGACCAGTTTTCATCTCGTCCGGACATAGGTCAGTGGATGAATGGTGCTTGGGGCAGTTTAGCAATATTCCAACATTCAATAGCAGTGTTTGCCCTTAACCATGAAAAGCTGCAGGCCCTAAATACCAAGAACCATAAAAGGTTGTGGGTCCTGATCAGAATGTGTAGGCCCTATATTTTAATATGGAAATTATATTTTAATATGGAACTAATACTCTTAGTTATTGTGGATGAGAAAGCTGTGGGCCATAATGACCTGCAGAAAACAAAAGCTGTGGGTCCGAGTGGTTTTCAGTCGGCTTCGGGCCTGAGGACCGACGTTAATTTCGAACGCTGCCATTAGGCCGGGGAACACCAGAAATGCTTCATGTTAAACCCATGAGGGGAATCGAACACGGGTCTTTTGCGTGAGTACCACTCGATTACCTCTCTTCATATAACGGATAGAAATAACCGTGTGGTATAGTCTAGTGGTGAGCGAGTGAGTGAGTGAGTGAGATGTAGCCCACGTAGTCTTATGAGGGAACACGAGAGGTGTTAAAAAACGCATGTCATGATAAAGAATTGAAATTTGAAAAGTCACATCTCGCTCTGTTCATTATTATGTATTGTTAAAATGCGACCATGGCGATGGATCATCCACGTATGTCACTCTCTCAGCATGATATATACCTTGTCATGTTTGACATTGTGTGGGGCAACCGTAACCCATGTATGGGGTTAGATCTACTCGTTGATCTCCAAATAGGGTGAATGTAAGTACACCTTGCACAACATCAGTTCGTTAACGTGAAGTATTTGCTACTTCAAAGAGTTAGCAACGGATATCTTTTTTCATCTAAAAAGCTTTCTGAGCAGCTCAGCAATAGCCATTACGTGCAAACCTGCATGCACAAGCCCTGGGTACCTGCTTAAGGGAAAATACTTACACCTGACCCATAACGTGATAATCACACCAGCTCACCTGTCTAACATTCCTTACCTACGGAAATAGGTTAATTGCAAATTACCTGAGATTGGATGAAATAATTGGTTGGGAAAGCATGCACATCACCGTTACCATAGCAACAACAACACAGGAAAACATTGTTTACGACAGTAAAGAGAACTGACACCGATTAAATATACACTTTCACCGGAGCACACATTACATGGTCTGCAGTTAGCGTTGTGATACGCCTGTGATGTTCATTGCACCGTGACTTGAAATTGATTACTGTTGGAATCGCAATTGTGTAGCTGATACATTATAAATGATGAGTAGGTGAATTCTGAAAACTGGAGGTTTGCATGGTTACACTTAACTTGAATTATTGGTTATATAACTGGAAGCTCACTGTTACGTGATATTCGTGGATATCGACGTCTCAGGATATCATCGTATTACGTGATATTCGTGGATATCGACGTCTCAAGATATCATCGTATTACGTGATATTCGTGGATATCGACGTCTCAAGATATCATCGTATTACGTGATATTCGTGGATATCGACGTCTCAAGATATCATCGTATTACGTGATATTCGTGGATATCGACGTCTCAAGATATCGTGATATTCGTGGATATCGACGTCTCAAAGATATATCGTATTACGTGATATTCGTGGATATCGACGTCTCAAGATATCATCGTATTACGTGATATTCGTGGATATCGACGTCTCAAGATATCATCGTATTACGTGATATTCGTGGATATCGACGTCTCAAGATATCATCGTATTACGTGATATTCGTGGATATCGACGTCTCAAGATATCATCGTATTACGTGTTACGATATTCGTGATATTCGTGGATATCGACGTCTCAAGATATCATCGTATTAATGTTCGTAACTGAATACAGAAATGGTGAAGCCAATGCTGGAGATCTATTTGATTGGCATTTTTAGAAGTTGATGAATAACAAGACAGATATGATACTTTATGGACGGCAGGTTCTCTATTATACAACGGTATAAAGTCTCTACTGAAACGTCGCATCATAATATAATAAAGAAGTTGTCATCCATATCGTATCTGAACTTACAATGCTGGAGAACTGTGGCAGCGTACATGTATCGTCATGGCAGTATTAACAGATCTATTTATTATCCGTATGTGGGTATAACTTCGATGAGGAGTTTTTTCATTCCCTTTTCTGATTCTGATTCACACGTTTTGCGATTTTGTTTGCTGATCATTTATGATATATCATGTATATAAATCTGAGTACATGCTTCACTTGAGGTTTACACTCCACTGTACGTGGATACTGGGTTAGCCTAGAGGTTAAAGCGTTCGCCCGTCACGCCAGGTTTCGATTCCTCAAACGGGTACAGTGTGTGAAACCCATTTCTGGTGCCCCCGTCGTGATAATGCTGGAATATTGCTGAATGCGACGTTAAACCCACTCTCGGTGAGTCGTACATTCAGATATATGAGCATCACGAAGACAGTACCTTGTTCTTCTCTCCGTGCGTCCATTGTACACAGTGTAATCAGAGGTGGTGTTTTGTGGGGTGAGGTGACATGGAGTAGAACATCGCGTTCAAGATTATTGACATATATACTGGACAAACAAAGTTAGGAATATTGGTATTTTTATGATTGATATTTTATCAGTGTGTCAATGAATAAATAGATCATTATTCATAATTTAAAATTTTACATATATCCCTAACTATTTTTGTCCAGTACATATTGCGGCGTGCGTGACTTTACCATAGTTGGGTTGTTTTTCATATAATGCCGACAATAACTGATCTGTTTTATTGCCATTTTGTTGATGTTGAATAAGAAAGGTATGATACTTAATGAATGACAACTTCTTATATTATGATGCTTGACAATGGTATAAGAGTCTATACCGAAACGTAGCATCATTATATAATA